AGCGGTGTTGGGGGGGTCTGGGGAGGTAGGGCCATCACCCCCAGCGAGGGGGACCAAAGAGGTCTCCTCGGCTCTCTTAGGGTCTACCATTGGGGTCTGCTGGTGTCTCTTGGGGTCCCTTGGTGTATTTTGGGGGCTACTGGGGATCTACTAAGAGCTATTGGGATCTTTTGGGGTCTACTAGGGTTGTTTTGGGGTCCACTAAGGTGTATTGGGATCTACTGGGATTCTGTTGGGGTTTACTAGGGCCTATTGGGATCTTTTGGGGTATGCTGGTGTCTCTTGGGGTCTACTGGGATCTCTTGGGGTCTGCTAGGGTCTGTTGGTATCTACTGGGGTCTGGGCGGGGCTACTGGGGTTCTGTTGGGGTTCACTAGGGTCTATTGGGGTCTTTTGGGGGTCTCTTGAGGTCTTTTGGGGTCTCGAGGTCTACTAGGATGTATTGGGGGTTTGGGGGGTCTTTTGGGGTCTGCTGGGGTCTATTGGGATCTATTGGGGTCTACTGGGGTTCTCTCAGGGTCTCCTAGGGCCTGTTGGGGTCTCTTGAGGCCTTCTGGGACCTATTGGAGAACATTGGGACCCACGGGGGCCTGGGGGCGGTTGAGGGAACATGGCGTCACCCTGTCTTGGGCCACAGGCATGCGGCCCCACAGCGCGGAGGGCTTGTGGGGTGAACATGGAGCTGCGGGGGCTCTGCTTCCTCCTGTCTTCAGGGAACACCCTCCTTGCCGCCCTGCCAGGTACGGGACGGGGGGGCCTGACAGTGGGGTGAGGGGCTCTATGGGGTTGATGTGGGGTGGAGAAGACCGGGCGCAAGGGTGATGGGTCCTGGGGGGTTGGTGAAGACCTGACACTGGGGTAGATGGGCCTCACAGGGTCACGCTGTGTGTCTTTCCCTCCACTGCCCCCCATTTCTCCATCCCCTCCCCAGGTTGCCCCACGAAGGCCTCTGACATCGTCTTCCTCATGGACGGTTCAGGCAGCATCGTGCCCAACGACTTCGAGAGGATGAAGACCTTCATCACCCAGGTCATGAGCCGCTTTGAGAGCACTGACACCCGTGTAGGTGACAACCCCCTCCAGGGCCGGGTCCCGGGCACCCATGGGTGGCCTGATCCTGCCTCATCAACATCTCCTCCCCTTCCCCCCTGCCCCATGGCCAGTTTGCCCTCATGCAGTTCTCTGCTGATTCCACCCTCCATTTTGACTTCGCCACCTTTGCCCGGCTGTCCCTGGCAGAGCGGGAGACAGAGATCCGCCGCATCACACAGAGTAGAGGGACCACCTGGACGGCCAGTGCTATCCGGAACGTGGTGTAGGTCCTGCCCCCAGGCCCGTCCTGCCCCCTTGCTCCTCCTCGGGGCCACCCCATGATCCCAAGGTGACCAACCATCCCTTCCATACTCCGGGGGCAGGAGGCAACTCTTCACCCTGAGGAACGGAGCCCGGGAAGGTGCCCACAAGATCCTCATTGTGGTGACAGATGGGCAGAAGTACGGGGACTTGCTGGACTATGGACAGGTCATCCCTGAAGCAGCGCAGGCGGGGATCATCCGCTATGCCATCGGGGTGAGTGAGTGTTGTCCAAAACCTCCATCCACCCATCCCCAACATCTCCATCGACGCGCAACATCATCCATCCATCCACCCCTCCCTCCCTTTTCAGACACAGCCATCCATCCATCCATCTGTCCATCTTCAAACACTTATGGCCATCCAGCCACCTAGAAGCACCTCTGTTCATCTCCAAACATCCCTTTATCCATCCCTTCCCAACATCTCCATCCATCCATCCATCCACACACCCATCCATCTCCAACCATCTCCATCCACTTGTCCCCAAAGACCTGTCCGTCCACCCTTCCTTCCCTCCCCAAACCTCTCCGTCCCTCCATCCAGCCATCCTTCTCGGCCACAGGTGGGCAGCGCCTTCTCGGATCCCGCTGCGGTGGAAGAGCTCCACACCATCGCCTCCGAGCCCAGCAAGG